TCCTCAATGTGTCGCCAAACGCCTGGAGAGGACGTTCTATTTTCTACAACCTAAGAACATCATCAGGCGTAAATTTAGCGCTGTAATTGTCCTTAATGAGTTCTTTCAGTGACAGCCTGAGGATGTAAAGAATTTCGTGCCTACGGACGTCTTCAGATGACATTCCATGAAATAACGTGTCATCGAAGACAAAAGGAAGGAAAAGGAGAACTAGAATTGAGGTTATGTCTCATGATAGTCATGATTTGTTCAAGATACATCATAATATATTAATGATTATATCAAAATTATTAGAGTATTCATTGAATACCTTCATCAAATTTCTATTTCACAAAATGATTGCGAGAAGAACTTATTGCACAGAATTAAAAGATAACAATAACAAAAGGATGATAATCTCTGTTGATGGCATTTCTCTCAGGTAGCAAGAAACAATGGTGAGTAAATACTAAATAGAATCATTGATAGTACCGGACATGAAATATTGATACATTCATATACATTATTTATTGTTTCAGGAGGTTATTGAGAACACAAACTTGATGATATCATCATAGCAAACATGTTTTATTCCAAGATAGCTTTGCTCCTTCGGAATCTATAAAATATTGTATGGAAGCTTGAACTTCCAGTATGAATTCAATAAAGGTAGGTACCTGAATCAAATCATTGATATAGTAGGTACTGGACATGAAATGTTAATAGGTTAATTATTTGTTTCAGATGAAGTTATTGAGAACACAAGATTGATGATGTCCTCAGAGCAAAGATGTTTCATTCCAAGATATTTTGGCTTCTTCGAAATCTATGTGAGATTGCGTATGCATGTTTGCACTTTCAGTATATTCAATAAAGGTAGGTGCCTAAATCGAATCATTGATATAGTAGGGACTGGAACATGAAATATTAATAGGTACATTATTTGTTTCAGGAGGTTATTGATAACACAAAATGATGATATCATCAGGGCAGAGATATTTTATTCCAAGATGTTTTGGCTTCTTTGGAAATTATGAAAGATTGTACATATGCAGACTTGAACTTTCAGTAGATTCAATAATGGTTGGTACCTATAACTACATAAATCATATCATTGATAGTAAGTACTGGACATGAAATATTAATACATTGTTTGTTTCAGATAGTTTTGCTTCTTCAGAATCTATAAAATATTGCATGCAGGCTTCAACTTACAGTTGATTTTGCATCAGGAATGTCCAGAGTTCAGAAATCAAAAACAACATGGAGAAATATAACTAACAATAGGCAATAACTTCTAGTAGTGCTCAACAAGAAGCTGAAATACATTTCTTCAAAAAGGAAATTGAAATTTTTCAGAATAAGTTATAAATAATAGAATATGTGAGTTTTTCATTTGGTTTTTCATTTGAACCTATTATAAATAGAGGGAAATTTTGCAAATATCATGAGATCCATATTATTTTGAAGAAATTATCATTTGCATAATACAAGGTGAGTCATCAATAGTGTGTTATCCTTGTATATTAGCCAAACCATCAGATAAATAGAGAAAATTCAAGTACAACAGTAATAGGGTTTCATGAGAACTTTCACATTAAATTGTTTTCATATCTGTATAGGGTGTTTGAATTCCAAGATATATTGACTGATGATTGTTTTTTTTTTCCAAATGGGTCACCCTGTATACTATTGCATTTTTAGGTTCTCCCTGAAGAGCTGATTCCATCAATGTATCAAACTTGGGGTCTAGCGGGAATGATTACAGAGATATAGGGTGTTCAAAAACAAGAATTTTCAATTTTAGGATTTTTTTTTTGTGGAAACTATTCAATATTGGTCAAAACGGCTCACATTTCCTTATGAACTTTTGATTTACTATCTAATGACATTCAATCGGAACAAATAGAGGGTGGTTCAACATTCAGAATACTGATAAGCTTATTTTGTATCTGTTCCAAATAAATATCAGTAGATAGCTAATCAAAAGTTAAGACAGGGACATGTGAGCCGTTTTTGACCATAAATGAATAGTTTCGACACAAAAAATCCTACATTTGAAGAATCTCGATTGTCAACACCTTATATCTCTGTAATAATTCCCACTAGACACCAAGTGTGATGCATTGATGAAATCAACTCTTCAGGGAAAACTCAAAAATGTAATAATATACAAGGTGTTCCATGTGTTTCCAAGAAAACCAATCATCAACCGATATCTTGGAATTCGAACACCCTATAGATATGAAAACAACTTTAGGTGATTGTTCTTATGAAACCCTATTACTGTTGTACTTGAATTTTCATTTTATATATCTGACGGTCTGGCTAATATCGGAGGAGAACACACTAGTGACTCATTCTGTATACGAATAATATTCTCCCACAAATCTTGAACCTCCTTGAAACATCATCAAAAACCGCCTCAAGTTGTTACTATGATGTCCTGAGGTTGTCTCAAAAGATTTTATAGGGATGTTCTGAGACGTTATTAGTATGTAGAGAATGGTAACAGGAGGACGTCTTGAGAATGTCCTAAGGCTCGCTCTCGACGTCCTGAGGACATGATTGTGAACGCCTCAGAAGGGCCTCAAAAGGAATTTGTGCTATCTGGGTATCTTCTAGAAGAACTGTTAGCTTCATAATTTTCTTGCAAAAACTGGTGTCTGGTTTCATTAACTGTCCAAGTATCTTGGGTAAATTGAATTTCAATGTTGGAAGACGTTCCTTACGATCTCCGAATCTGTTTTATCCTCAAAGATATAGAACGAATGCGTCAGAGAACTCTCCAATAACTGCTATACAGAGGTTGTATGATCTGTTTTTTTGTCATATTGATATATTTCATGGATCACTTTCAGTAGTTAAACATGCTGCTTATTCAGTATTCAGGTGATATTCATATCCACATATCAAGACTCAAATTATAAGCATGTCATTAGTATTATTAATGTTATTATCATTATTATTATTATTATTATTATTATTATTATTATTATTATTATTTTTATTATGATTATTAATCATTATTATTATTATTATTATTATTATTATTATTATTATTATTATTATTATTAATCATTATTATTATTATTATTATTATTATATTATCATTATTGTTGTTATTGTTATGATTATTTTTGTTACTATTATCATTATTACGTTATTATTATTATTTTTAATTTCAGAATGCTTTTTCTGAACATTGATATCTATTAAGTTCATTACTCTACGATATATCGTACCGATATTTCATGAATTTATGGAAAAATGTAATATGCGGTTTTCTGTTATTGGGTTGTTAGTTCAACCTGTTGAAAACCCGAATTGGTAAATAAATAAATAAATAAATAAATCAGAAATGAGCACGAAAGTAGAGTCAAACAGGGATTCCTCATCTTCACACAGAACAACAAAAATAATGATATTTTTTTCTCGCCACCTTGTGGGGCCCAAAAACCTTTTATATAAAATGAGAACAAAATTTGAAGTAATATACAATATGTTCACTATTCACGGGGTTCGGAACATGTACGATGATTTGTGTTTTTGTTCCTTGATGGTGATAATTTTGGTGTTTTTTTTTATTGCAGTTGGAGATTTCTCTGATGCAAAGCCAAACGTGAATTTTCAGATTGAATGGGTTAATGTTTTTCCAACTTTAACTCCATGTGGTTATGATTCTCCAATAGGTAGGTAGAGTATGTATGATATTGCTTCGCACGTGTGTCACAACGTCTAGGAATTCTTCAAATCATAACAGATGTTTCAGTGAAGCAGTAGAGTAATGAACTGGAAATTGAGATGAAATACAAGTATTCCAGTATTGCACGCCTCTACAATAGCGGAATTGAATGCTTCTCGACATATTAGGTATACGTACACCTCCATTATACGCAATCGCTCAACCTGTTGCGTTGGAGAATGATGTCGTGACTTTTGTCAACAAATGTCATGAAAGACATTGCTGCTCTTGAAAGAGGATCACAAGTTGTGTGTGGGTCTTTGCTTATTTCATTCACAGGCAGAAAAATATTATACAGACTATATTTCCTGAATGAGTCATATGTTTATTCGCTTTGCTATGGAGATTTTTGTATGAAACTCCTGACAAGTATATATATTGAAGAGGCTCAATTTCATTGAAACATATAATGCATTGTTCTGTTATATCGAATCAGAAGGATTCGAGAAAGACTCGTCCGTTTAATAGTTCATTATGTTATTTTCACATATCATGCGGAATGAGGCTCAATAGATCACATCCCTGCTTCTCTTCTGATCTGCAGAGATTTCAATTTCCAGGAGGTCCATGTTGATATCGAGGAACGAATAAAATACCAGTACTGATTGAATGCTATTTCGTCATCGTCACATAAAAATAAGGGTCACCAAAACTCCGCCTGAAAATATTGACTCAAACCAAGAACTATTTCGGAATAATGTAGATACATTATTGGGAAAACGTTTGAGAAAGTTTGTCAATAATTTCGAAATAGGCAGCAATATTGACTACAAAATATTGGAGCATATTTTGAATAATTGCTTCAAATGCCTCTGCGAAAAATTGTATTTATTGATCTCTCTAACTTTCGTAGTCGAATTGGTCTTTGTTTTCACCTTAATTTGATTTCTCTCATGATAGGGGTGCCATTTGATATTAAGAAGCAGGGGCGGCTGGGGGTGAATGGGATGAACATAGCATTTACCCGATACTTGTATTTTACTTCTTTTTCAAAATCTAGATCGACCTATTTTTTTCAAAAATTGTTATCACCTCAGATCAGAAGATATGCTGGGTTGGATTTGAAATGGAAGCCATGTGAATAAAACAATAATTGATTTCGATATGTAGTAACGCAACAAGTAAATAATAAAAGAGGTCAACATAACATACACTGTAATCACTAGCATAATATCAACAAATCACAATTTTCTTTGTATTGCACAAATTAACTGAAGAAACAACTCACTCGTACTCAATTGCATTCAATTCTGAATCCACATTTCCATATCATCTTCGAGCCCAAAAAGCGTAGTTCTATAAACGAAAACACATGTAATTAACACACACTAATAGGGTCTCCAAACTACAGCATCTGCATTCTGTGCTGGTCCCCTCTGTCCCCCGTTTCCACTCAACCCCCTATTATGCCCGTCGTCCTGTCTAGCAGCAGCTGCGGCACAAGTCCCGTTGTTGCTCAGCAGCAAATCCGTGCTGCTATTCACCATTTGCCTCTGGTGGTTGCTCGTCGACAGATGGTCCATGACGCTCTGCAGATCGTGCTGCTGCTGCGCATGCGTAGAATGCGTGTGGAAGGAGTGGAAGTTGTGCGATTGGTTGGCGGCCGAGTAGAGCTGCGAGTAGAGCAGCCCCGGTAGCACTGGATAGATGGAGTTGTTGCAGTTACCTGTGGAGTAGGTTGCTTGGGACATGTTCTGGTGCAGGGAGAAATTGCTGTTGTTCGCGTGGCCAGACGATAGAGTAGGCTGCGTGCTGAGTAGGTCTTCTTGTACTGGGCTTTCGGCGGTGCTGGAGTTGTCTGAGAGGGATCTGGGACCAGACAGAGCGAAATCGGCGTGGTTGGATGAGTATCGGGGTACTAGAAGGGAGGAGGTGTGGGAAGATGACGTGTGCGAGTGGTTGGTATGGTTGTGCGATGATACCAAGCCCAAGTGTTGATCGAGGTCAGTAGTGGGAGCTTCTGGGATTACTGAAACAAAATATATTGAGGTAAGATTGGGAATGCTATTCATGCACAGTGGATTTTTGTTCATAAGACAACCTAACAGGGCACTACCAGTTGAAATGACATCTCAGATAGCTTGGCTTAGAAGTGGAGAATTAATGCACGTTAGGTGGGGAAGAGGAGAATATCTCTGTACACATAATGTGTAATTACGAAATGTGATGTGTCATTCTACAGAACCCAAAGATAAGGAACATAGGAGCACACAAAACAGAAGAGAAAAGGAGCTGAACTTCCACTTCCACAGATAAATGTTCAGCATGAAAGTGCGCAACTTTGCCCTCATTTAACCGACCTCGTATCTCTCATAATAACTGAGATCCTCATGATGAAGCTCGATAAACGGGCGCCCTGTATACATAATGCTATATGTTTTTGATGTCATATTCATCAGAATCTCATTTTCCTAGAATGTGCCATATACCCAACAACTTACAGGAACTAACTGCCGAGCTGGTGGTGAAGGCATCTTGTGTGGACGAGTGGTCTGGCGGGGCGCCGCCTGAGAAGCCCAGGGAGGGGGGCGCGTTGAACTGCGAGGTGGGAGCCCCACACGAGCCCAGGGCGCTGGGCGTGAAGTAAGGCGAGTATGCACCCGCCGTCGAGTAGCCCCAGTGCGAGTTGGTGGTGCTTAGGCCAAATTGGGACATATCTGCAAAAAAGGGATTTGGAGAATGATGAGTAATGAGATATTCACAGAATGAGTGGCGTGCAAGAACTGTCAGATGACCGACCCTTGAGGTGAAACATTGAAACACAACCTCACTTTGTTATTTGTTGATTGTAATAGTTTCTCCAAGAGTTCCAAAATGTACTTGACACTGCTTTTTCGACGTTTTTTCTATATCAGAGTACGGACAGTAGACAAGTAGTGACAATCAAACATAACCACAAACGATTTTGAAGCAAATCATATGTTTCGCCAGACAAGGACAAGAATATGTTTTTCACTTGGATAAAGGATATCCGCATCTTCTTTTCTCCACAAGTCCTGGAAACAGTACATCCATATATCTTTCTCTGTCTTTGATTTTTGTATGAGAGTGCATAGCGTCTCCTCGAGTGGGTAAAACGGTACTATAAATTGATAAGAAAATTATTTCCTCTCGGTAATGTTTTACAGTAAAGTGAAGTTGTGTTTCAATATTTTACCTCCAGGATCGGTCATCGTGGACGCAACCTATAGGTATTTATGTAACAAGTGTGTGGGGTGAGATTTTTTTCACGAGTAGGAAATGTTGACGCACGAAGACGAAGGAGAAATGCGGCAGTTCCTATAAATAAGAAACACCTTACGCACGTGTCACATACAATATTCCTCCTACAACTGTCAGATTAGCTGAAAAAATGATTATATTATATTTATCGATTAATATCGAGTGAATTCACTCATTTTATGTCACTTTATTGAACACTTGGTTCCTGAGGACAAGATAACCAGAGCCACTTCCGACTAACTGAATAAATCGCTCATTTCCCTCGCGTTCAGCGATGCTGATCAAATCATACCTGAGATGCGAGCATATTATTATCAAATGAGCGAGAATATAGTGACATCTTCTTGCTCTCATCTTCATTTCAATGGTACTGTTTTGTCACCGCTCATCTATTTCTTAGTTATAGATTTAATGTATATATGATGTATCTTCTGGTAATCTCTTTCTCTAAGCCTTTCACAATTCCATATAGACAGTTGTACCATAGGAGAAAAAGGAAGAAGACCTGCCCAGGACGATCAGTACCTACAATTAGCATTAGCATTCGTATTCGTTAGCGAAACGAATGCGAATGCTAATGCTGATTGTACGGTACAAATCTCGTTAATAAGAAGGTACTCTCATTCTCTCTCTTCCGCTCAGGAGGCGCGATGCATAGTGCTTACTCCCCCGTGTGAGTGCCCTGGTTGTTTGCATAACGGCATCTTGGAGCAGTGCAGTTCTCGGACTATACCGTCAATCCTCAGTGACTGCAACTTGGTGAAATTGCAGCTCGATTTATTTCATCATCAAACTCTTTTCTCAACAACGGCTCGTATAGCACAAGTGCAGCTAAGTTTGCAGGTGAAGGAATGATAGCATAGATTCCTGAAAATAATTCTTCGTGGAAATATCTGTAGATGAGTGACTGATCCCCTACCTTCCTACGGTATTTCAACGATGTCGGAGACTAAGTGAGTGTGGCTTTGCGCTGCAGGTAAATGGCTATTGCGTATGTTCCGATGGTGAACTTCTTATATGGAAGGAGAATTCTAAAATAGGCCGTATCTGTGCTTTGTTGATCATGAGAAGCAGAGGAGTAGAATGTCATGGAATCAAAATCAAAGTTCTTGTGAAGCAGCTTCCGCGATGGATTGATAGTGTAGTTCGTAGTGTTCGTACCCTATAGACAGAGCATATAGGTTGTGTTGATTGATGAATCATCCTATGTCTCAGTCATAGCCAATAGTTTGGGAGTATAGATGTACATCGTTGATGTTCTCAATAAAATCATGGAGGCTCTTATCAGCAGTTGAAACTTCTCTAGCACCTCTCACCCAGAAATCCGAATGTAGAGGTATTTATCTTCCGGATAATTTTACATGAGAAGAACTCGTCATCGCTTCTTTCGTTCTGATGAGGAAGGTTAACGTTGAAGGAAATGGAAATTGGATTGAGTTGGCCGGGATCATAAACCATGCAATTAATGAAACATGGGTATTACCTATTTCACAGCTCCTACAGTCGATATAGTGCTTTTGCACTGGGCGATAGTGTTAGCCTATTACCACAAGCAGGTCCTACCATGGCGTTATTTTATTCCGAGGGCCGCACGGATGGAGATGATTCTAGTTAGGGTTGCTCACCCTCTTCCTCGCCTACGTGTGCCCTTAGGTCTTGTGCTCTAAGGTTTTGTTTGGAAAAATACTAAGTTTGTATTTGGATAGATGTTTCCTCCATCTCTCCACAGAAACCTGGATTCATCATCTCCTTCCAAGCAAAGCCACATGAGATATCTTTTCAGTCGGCAGTGCCGCTTTTATATACGAAGATTGCTCTTGCTAAGGCTTACATATGCGTTCGATCTTTCCTGGCAATTCTTTGCAGAATCCTATTTTTTCGGTGGAATAATTTGGAAAAACTTGAAGATTTTTTCAGATTCCTTGTCGTATTTCTCGAATTTCACGTGATATAGTACCTCTGCTAAACCCACAGAAGGATTCTCTCACTACGAATGATTTCTTCACACGTGAATCTGTTTGGTTCTTCGATTTAATCTTATCGTGGATGATAATAAAATTATGTATCCTCCTTCTATAGGTTTCCACTATAGATTGGAATGTATACATTTCCTTATAGAGTGGGAAACTACTTGGGCTTTCAAAGTACCTACTTGGTTTGATGTTCATAGACTGCTGATCCAGTTTCATCTCTGGTTTCGAAGCCATCCGAGAACATTGAGGTATTATCTATATAGGGTGTCCCGAAATCAGCCTGCGAAACCATCCTCGCTCACTGAGGAAAATTGTGCGATTAGAGTTTTTGCTGAGATATTTCTCGCTACCATTACATGAAATCCTATTGAAGTTACCTATTTTCCGATAGAAGCATATGAGCATTTGTCAGACATCTTGCGTTCCAAAGACATGCATGTTCATTCATTCCCAGTTGGGCAATTCCATGTACAGGACGACAATCTCGACGACACGACAGTTACGAATACTTCCTTTCTCTTTTCCAATTCATCATTCAGAATCTAAATCTGAATCTAAATATGGAATAAGAACTATTCCAACAAATGAAATAATCTCCAGTGTCCCTTTATGTGCTTTCGTAGATCTGAGTGCTATTATATTAATATAAATATTTCACATTCAACATTGCCTCCTTTTGGTCCAATGCAACTTCGAAATTGTCGAATTATAGGTGAATCAATATTGATCCATTGAATTTCGAAGGTCATTAAAATTTTCTTCAGGAATCGATAAATTGCTATTTGTACCAAATACCAGGGTGGAAATTATGGAAAGTGAATTCGGATTTCAGTCGAAAAAAAATTTTTTTAAACAACAATCCTCAATATCTACAGCATCAAGGTCATACAACTATATAAATATATGATCACCCACCAAGATTAACAAAGTTCTCTCTACCTATGGTTATAAAATTGCCCTTATTCTATTATTAGATACACTCACTAACGGTTGCAAAGTCATATACCTACTAGAGTAACATCATCTGGTAGCAATATACAGATACACTCGCTAGTAGCAGAAAGGTTCTATATCTTATAATCGCAGGTGGGTGATAATCAGGAATGCAATTGGAGTTTCTTTCTGGGATTATTCGATTTCTACCTATCGTTAGTAGAAATTTTCCTCAGTGCTTCATTGAGCATGAGATTTCAAGTTCTTGTACCGAATTTCACTATCTAAACACATCTAATTTCGGAAATATTCAAAGAATATAATATTCAGGAGCCGTCATCAACGGGCCCGTATAGCCTTGAAGCAGCCATTTTTCGAGTCATGTTCATTGGAACTTTTCTTCAAATGCTGATTTCGAGACAGCCTGTATAAACCCATCAACACAATGAGCAGGAAATTTCAACATTATAGGGATTTCCTTTCGTGCGCTCCAAGCGATAAAAAAGAAAACTGGAGCAACATGCCTTTTCACTACTCACATAGATATTTTCATCAAGGTGGCAGGATTAATATGATATCTTCATCTACCAATAATCATGTATATTATATTCTACCGTTTCTCCATTCAACAAAACCGAATTGCATGCTACACAGTTCGATTATTGAATGCAGCAAGATTTATTGCATCGTCAATTATTGAAGTTCACTAATATATCAATTCACTCAAATAGTTTTCGAACGAATTAGATTGAGTGGAATCTCAGACAAGGTTTTCTCAAATTTAAGATGTTTGGAGAGTTGTGCATATATTTTGAATTCAGTAGTGCAAACATGTTCGATGGTTTAACTTTTTCACCTCGGCTAATAGGTTGATCTGAATCCTAGATAGTCCTCCCTATACTATGAGAACTTCTTCAATTCCGTATAGGTATATTTGAGTATCGCTTGTCTTTTTATTGCTTAAGCTGATATTTGATTCTCAAAATTTCTTCTTGAATGTCTCATTAGTCTTGTGATGTTCTCAAAAACGACTTCTCAATGAGAAATTGCAAACAATTCTGAGAATTTCATGTTGCGATAGCCTGCAGAGTGTGATGTTGTTCCCTTTAATACACAGCATAAAAGAAGGAATGCAGTCCGAGGCGTTGTTCATCTTACATACTCAAACAACTTTGAAATGTTGCTGCCGAATGACTCTGGAGACTCAAGATTGTCCTTTTTGATTATGAGTTGTAATAGAATATAATTTTCACACTTTTTCGAATTCATAATGATTTTGATAATCAAACCACTAATTCACGAGAGTGATGGTGGAACAAATTAGTTTTCATCTTCAGTGAAATCTAGATTGGAAATTGAAAACATTGTTAACTGAGGTTGTGTGTAGAAGCTGTTTTTATCACTTTCTACCTAGACTGAATGTAGCGTAGTGCTACCTGTGTGAACTGTATTAGATGACTCTTGAAAATGCTGAATCTGATAAGTACAGAATATAACAAGTGTAATGCTCATTGAGTAACAATCCTG